GGTCTTGCAACACAACAGTCTAAAGTGCTCTGGTGGTATCCATGTATTACAGTTTATCAAGACCCTTGATATGTCACTTGGGAAGAATGTGTCCTTTCTGGATACCAGGACCTCCAACCCTACAGAATCTGGTTATGGGATAGAAGTTCAGAATCTCCTTTATGCCCCCTTCACTTCTGGAGACTTGTTCTTCCTACCGGGAACAAAGCACAGTAAAGAGATCTCTGGTTTAATTCAAACCAAATATGGTAACACAGCCTTTCAGAGTATTTTCTCTGAGCTGTAAATTCATCTGTGCCTTTGAAGGGCATGCCAGCACTCTATGAGACTGGTTGCTTCTAAACAGCATGGGTATATCCTACGACCAGTGGATTCCATGGTCATGTTCCTATTTGTTCACTGTTAAATAGACTCCTGAGCAGATGATACACAGTGTGAGTTTCCATACAAGCACTTAAATAGTGGTATTGACAAAGATCTGTAGAGGAGAAAGACAAATCTACACAACGAATAAATATCTATCACTGTGAAATAAAAGCTATTGGAGGAGGAGAGAGACAGTAGAAGTGGGCTTAACTCCATGGGTATTTCCAAGAATACAAAGAAGCCCAGTTCTGTGACCACCCATCTACTGTCAGCCTTAGTCTGCAGAAACACTGCTAAACTTCAAATGATGCTAGTGTCCCTTTCACCAATTCATTTCTGATGGTCTTGGTGTGTAGCATATCTGCTGGGCTGCCTCATGGAACATAATCTTCTGGTTGGCTTGTAGCCTCACTTAACATATCCACCCGCAACAGGTCTCCAGTCTCTTTACTCTTTCCTCTATCATCTGACAGTGCAATTTGGGCATTTCTACTTTTTTATCCATGACCATTGCTCTCCCTGGACTTCTACAAGCTATCCCAGAAAACAGCTTCTCAAGATCTCACATCCAAGTCAACGTCAAATCCCATTTCTAAGAGAGTAGCCTTAAATTCTTCCTTTATGCTCCGATCTCCTTGATCATGTACCTTCAAAATCCAACACCACAGTTGCTTGGCCTGGTTTCTGCCTGAAAATACAATCCAGTTTCAGAGCTCCTTGGGTTCATAATTTCTTGCTTCTCTTTTCAATCTGGCATGGATCTAGTCAGGTTATGTTGGGATACAATATTATTAGCCTAGCAACCAGGGGGCACCTCCTTAAGGGTCATCTATTGATTGTGGGTAAATTACCTTCTGTAGGTCTTTTATCTTTGTCCTTTTTTCAGGATTCTAGTTTTCTCAGTCAAGGTTCAGACCTTACCATAACATATGTGTCTGGCTGATTACTTAAATCTTTGGATTTCTGTGACTCAATCCAGTGCTCAGTTGTCTCTGTACTTCCACTGCAGAAGATAAGGGCCTCATTGTAAGCTACAAGAGAAGCCCTTAGGCTTCTACACTTAGCTTTAATTGCTTGTTAATGGGCCTCAATTTCTCATCATCCCTCTGCAAAGCAGCAATAAAAATTTAACAGTAACCAGCTGACACTGCTGCCCTTGCGGTACCAGGTCCCAGTATCTTTCAAATGCCTAATCCACTGCATCTGCAATGATGTTCCTCTCCACTGGGATGTTTTCCCTTCCAGGATTATCACTGGTGAAATCTTTAGCAAATAGGCTGCCATCTAGTGCCAGAGACTATCCATTTATAGCATGCAAGATGACCTCCTCTGCTTGTAAGTCATAACTGAGTCAGTTTCCAAGCTCAGTCTCATCACTTACCTCTTCAAATCATTTCTACAACCTCTTGTACTAGTTTGGGTTTTCCAAGAAATGTAAAAGATGAAATGGACATGAGATTTTATGGGGGAAAATGCTTGTGAAGAATAAAGAGAAAGAGCCAGAGAAGATAGCAGAAGCCTTCAAATCATAATGCAAGTCTGACCCTTGTGAGAGAGAAAGGAAATGGAGGAGTATTATATAGCAAGAATCTCAGATACGGCACTCTTCTAAGAAAATCTTAGCTAGGAATAATCCAGGGGAATCCTTCAGCCAAAGGCACATGTTAAAGGAATCCTGCATTTCAGTAAAATAGGCCTGCTTTAGAATCTGTCACACTCAGACTCAGGTTGAGAGAAGCTCAAACCTGGACAGAAAAAACTAGAAATCACAATGTCTTTGTGAAGACCAGAGAGGACCCAGAAGGGCAGCACCTGAGACCACTGGTCATTTGTGCTTCCTGAAGGATCCAGAAAGGTAAAAACCTGAATGCTGCATTTCATGAACACAAATGAAAAGTGGCTACAATTGAGACCACAAAGCAGACAAGGGGCAGGTAATAAAGTGCCTCATATGCAATGCCACAAAGATTAGAATTTCTCCTCCAGGCCCTACAGGGCAAGAAAGAGTTTGGGAGGAAAAAAAAAGAAGAAACGAAAACAAGAAAGCAAAGAAGTCAAGAGATAGCTGTGAGTTAGGATTAACTGGACATGATGACAAATTAGATTCGACAAGAAGTCAGAGCCTTAGCTCCAGGTGTCTGTCTTGGGAAATACATTGTATGTGTTACATGAAGTTAATATTTTGTGGATAAGATGAAGTGAAATTTATCTCTTACTATCAGGGGAAAATTGCATTCTCCTGCCAGTCAGTCCGACTTACAACATTGGTTTTGTTTCTAACCTAATCCAACATTATTAAATACCTACATAAATAATACATCACCTCGGCCTTCCAGGGGCTTGCTGCCTTAGCACAATGATAATAGCACACACTACTATTTTCTAGGGCTTAGTATTGGAGTCATATTATTAGGAAAAGACTAGATTCTTTATTTTAAAAATGGATTGCTTTTTGGAAGAAAGCTACAATAGGGGAAGTGTATTTGGGCTTACACAAACTCAGGAATAAAGCAGCCTCAGCCATTGTTGGCAAAGAGCCTGAAGCAAAGTCAAGGAACCCAGGAACTTAACCCCTACTCAGGAACACAGAATCCCCTTCCAACCTCTCTCTAGGCCAGAAGACTCCTGTCCTTACCAGCTCAAGTCTGCCACCGAGAGCTGATGGGGGCATGAAAGATGCTGGGGCTGGCACTCCCTTGGGAGCCTCTGTCACATGGAGAGAGGAGGTGTCCCCAGGGAGAGGTGAGGACGAAAACAAAGGGGAGTATTTGACAAGGGACTGAGGGACCAAGACAGGAGAGCAAATTGGGAACGAAGAACGGGTCTTAACACAAGCCTACACTTTTCTGTAAAACACAGGAGTAAAAGGCAATGAGTTAAAGAAAATATCCTTCCTGGGGCGGCACCATGGCTCACTTGGCTAATCCTCCGCCTGCCGCGCCGGCATCCCATACGGGCGCCGGATTCTGTCCCGGCTGCTCCTCTTCCAGGCCAGCTCTCTGCTGCGGCCCGGGAGTGCAGTGGAGGATGGCCCAAGTGCTTGGGCCCTGCACCCCATGGGAGACCAGGAGGAAGCACCTGGCTCCTGGCTTCGGATCGCCGTAGCGGCCATTTGGAGGGTGAACCAATGGCAGGAAGACCTTTCTGTCTCTCTCACTAACTCTGTCAAATAAAACTCCTTCCTTCCAAGTTTACACTGCTTCAGGACACTTACCTGAAAAACAAAACCAAAACCCTTGCACTACTATAGATCCCTGTCCACTGGGGAAGAGAGGGGTAGCACGGCCCACCCGGTGCTCGGACGCTCCTCAACGAAGAACCCGCGGAAGCCTGGAGAACAGGCAAAGCTCTGCCATCACCCACAGCACTGGAAACAAAGCCAGAAGAAGCTACAGCTGAGGAGGCGGCTGACTAGGCGGCTGTGCAACCTGTAGCGCCTTTATCCCCCTGAGCCCAGTCCTAAGTAGGTTACTGTGGCCCATACTGCCTTCACTGAGGGTACCAAGCTTCTCCTCGTGAACCACTCCACCAGGAGTTCCGGGGTACAAAGGGCGTGTCCGGAAGCTCCGGAAAACCTACGGGAAAGAACGTCTCGCTGCCTCTAAAGTGCAAGATTCTCTTCTGCAAAGCTTGGCCGCATCCCCAGAGGGCGCTTCGTGTTCACTCAGGCAAGGACCTGGCCGCCTCCTGGTCCTTGCGCTTCCTCTGTTCTGCCTTCTCAGGGACAAGTATCGCATGGAGACTATTACCATGTGGCAGCTTCTCCGTGGAGTTTGGGCCCTGCAAACTCTTACTGTCCGTCCAAGGCATTTTCTACCAGGCCGAGAGGTGCTGCAGCAGCGGGTCATGCGGATCACACCCTGCGCCTTCTCCCAAAACCCGCAATGCGTGGTTGTTACCACCCGGTAATGGCCACTTCGTGGAGTGCTATACAACCTGCTGGGATCTGTGCACTTCCACCTCTACCAGTCGCTCAGCCTCCACTAACCCCCAGGCTCGAGGATCAGCACCAAGCAGAAATGCAGGCCAGCACAGCACCTATGCCTGGGACTTGGAGAGCTGTGGAGAAGCCGACTGCCCTTGGTGCTAGCCTAGCCCACATGGTGATGCCTGCCATGGAGGGAGGGGGTGAGTTTCCACCAATGGGGAGGAGGACCACAGGGTTAGCTGGGAAAGCAGAAACAGTACAAGAGATTTTGGAGGGCCCTGAAGTTCTTCCTGAAGCAGATATCCAGCGAGACCTTTGACTTTGTCATCAGTAGGAGTGTTGGGTGGGGACTGGGTCCTGGGACAGGTCTTTGGGCACCAGAGCCACCTACAACGTCATGTGCTTCTGCATCACCCACCAGATAGCTTGTCAGCCAGCCTGGGCTGCAGAACCCACCATCGGCAAACACTGCAAGCAGCTCCAGGGGTATTTGTTCATCTTTCGGTGATTCTCTAAATTCGCTCTTATGGAACAAGACAGCCATGAGAGCTGAACAGAGCTGCTAAAGTGGAATAATGGTGGTCTTTTCCGAATGTACATAATAATGTCATTCAATTACATAATTTTCTCTTTATCCAAACACCAATAGACATTTAGTGAGCAGGGCTGGGAGAGACTAGGACAGAAGACCAGGCTTGGCAGCTTTTCAGTTGGCTGGTGGAAGGGGAGGAATGTTCCCCAGGCCTTCCAAGGGAAGTGAGGGCCTCAGCATCAGGGACATGGGAGTAGGAGGGTGTACCCCAGGATTTGAATGGTGAACACCAGGGCCTTGGAGGTGGACCCTAGCAGCTGCAGGATGAACTCCAGGATCCTGGTGCCTGGGGGAGGATCCCAGGGGCAGGTGGGTGGACCCGGGATGCCTGGAGATGAACTGCAGGTTCCGGTGGGTGCACTCCAGGCGCCTGTGGGTGAACACCAGCCACTGGGGGAGGGTGGACTCCCAGAGCAGGGTGTGAGTTGGGGGAGGACCATTGGTGCAGGTGGGGGCAACTGGGGGCACAGGAGGCCCTGAGGGCACAGACCCCGCCTGTGAGGGACTTTGTGGGCCAGGGACAGGCCTCCTGGCAGGGGAGGGGGCAAACCATTCATCAGTAGAGCTGATGGCCACTTAACCTTGGGAGGCCCCACAACCTTGGGAGGCCCCACAGGGAGGCTTGGGTGGGGCCAGAGGCTTCTCCATCTTAAAGTGGAACTGCAGGAAAAACTTGATGTCTCTGTTCCAGTGAATCCAAAACTTCCTCAGCCTTGGCGACCTCTCTGCTCAGCACCTAGAAAGCGATGGTCGGTAGGGCTTGGCAGCCATCAGCTGGTACTCCCGGCACTGGTCCGGGGCCTCAGTCCTCTGCTCATAGGCCGACGTGAAGCCATGGCAGGGCATGCAGTCCTCGACAATCTCAGGGTAGTCAATATGGAAGAGGAGGTTCTGTTGGCCCATCTCTGTGTCCCTCTGCATGGTCACTTTGTACCCTGGGGAGCCGACCTTCACAAACTTCTTCACCTGTGCCTTGACCTCAGGCATTGGCTGGGTGGGGACCTCCTTTGCCAAGTTGGTCTGAAGCTTTTGCCTTTGGGTGTGTGCGAGATAGCTGCTCTCCTTGTTGTGAAGTGTCAGGCAGAGCTTGCATTTGTGTGATCCCAGGTGTTTTTTTATAAAGTAGGGGTCCTTGTTGGTGTTGGTGGTTTCCAGGGCCAGCTGCCTATGAGGAAGCCACCCCCTACTCGTGGTCCTACCCCCTGGGTCAATGCTGGAAGTCCATGGTGAAGACATTGGGGCTTTACTAGACTGGGAGAAACCCTTGCCATCATGCCTCTTTTGCCACCTCCACAATTATGTAATTTTCCTACTTCTGACTTTCCTCCCATACAGTATCACAAAATAGGGCAAAGGACGATATATTGCAGCTGATGGGCAGTAAGTTGACAAATGGCACAGTTTAGAAAGGTGTTTTAAAATAGAAGGTACAAAATTCACTTAGGGATCTTGAGTACCTTGAAGAGAAAGACAGTTTTCCTGTAAAGTAATTGAGTTTGACATATAGAAAGCCTTGTCTAGGAATTGGGCAAGGCAAGTCATGTGTATTAACAAGTGGTGGATAGAAATAGAGACATGCAGACATGTCGAACAGAACTCCAATTTAAAAGTCACAAGGGCAGAGGCTCTGAAATGAGGATATTGACTTATAAATTTGGGGCTTCTCACTTGAGCAACTCCAGATAGAGTGCTCCAAGGCGAGGAGCAAATAATATTTGCACTCCTTATAAGGACAGTAATGTGATTAATGACTATCATGGCAACACCAGGTAATAGAAGTAGTGAATTCAAAACCCCAGGAAACGATCAGGGTAGCTTGTTAGTAGTGGTGCTTGGCGACACCGACTGGTTAGGGCTGGTGAGAGAGGATTGACAGGAAAGCAGTAAAGAAGACTTGGACTTCTGGCTTGATTTTATTTTTTGTGTTTCGTACTATCAGTTTATCCATTGACAAAATTTTAGGTAATGTTTTAAAATTAAAAGTATCAACATTCCATAGCCTTTTACAAAATATACTGTGACTCGTATGTGTTCTACCACCTGAGTCCTTTCCCCAGAGGGGAAATGTAGGCCCATCTGATATCTCCTTTCCCCCAGTAGGACTTTGATAAAAATGAGAAAGCCAGCCTAAGTCATAGCACAAAGCCCAACAATGTGAAAGACATGATTAAACTCATGTCAACGTATGTTGCTAATATATACAACTATTAGTGTTCACAATTTATCTAGCTTGATGATGTTAAAGCTTGAGGCACTTCTGCTGATATCTTACCCTCTACTCTGAGTGATACTTTTTATACCTAGCAAATTTTTGTTTTGTTTTGTCTGAGAGACAGAAAAAGGGAGAGATAAGAAATAAAGATAGAGACTGAGAAAGAAAGACAGGTGGGCAAGAAACCCCATCCTCTGGTTCAATTCATTCCTAAATGCCTGCAAAAGCCAGAATTGGTCCTGGCTGAAGCCAATTCCAGGAACATAAATCAAGTCTTGCATATGGTTGTCAGGAACCCGATCACTTGAGTCACCACCACTGCCTCCTAGGATCTGCATTGGCGAGAAGATAGAGTAAATAGCCAGAGCTGGGTATCAAATCCAGACATTCTATGGTGCCTGGCCCACCAGACAAATATTCACCCTCAACTACTCAGCTTTTAAGGTTTAACCAAAGATTGACAGTCTGTGTCGACTGAGACTTGCATCAATAGACTTTACTAATTCAGGGGACTATAATGAGCTAATACAAGTTTACATAATAAAAAAATTATGTACTTAGGGATAAATACACTATAAAAGATAACCCTTAGCTTAGTGTTACACAAAATATAACTACTGTCACTTTCCCAATATTCAAAGTAATTATTTTAAATTTAGCCTTTATTAAAAATAAGAGAAAAGTTGGTAGGATTCCAATTCAACCTAACTTAAGTGAAATGTGAGTTTTCTGGTTGATGAATTCATAGGTTGCTGATATTTTTATATATTCTAAATTTGCAGTGCTGATTAAAATTTGTTGTGGAGGTTGAACATTTAATACATGTTTCATATTACATTAGAAGCAGAATTTTACAGAAATTGCAGAGTATATTGGCTCTTTTTAAAGTAATTTTTATAACTTAATGCTTATAATTCTAATTTTTTTTGCTGTTTCTTTTGTTTATGCTATAAACATGTCTCTATAATTCAGAGGTTCCAGGTTCATGGAGATTTTGCATCACAATTTTCTATGTATATGATATTCAGGTTTGTGGCATTCTTATTGAATCTTATTCTTTGAGAATTATCCCCTTTGTCTATTGTCAAATCCAGGCACAAATAGTATATTTTTCCCAAAGAAAGCTTTTCTTTAATGAGTACAAATTTCATAAGTACAACTTTAGGAATATAGTGATTCTTCCTACCATACCCACCCTCTCACCCCACTCTCACCCCACCTCCTCCTCCCTCTCCCATTCCCAGGCTCATCCTCTATTAAGATTCAACAAATAGTGTATCGATGTTTTATTTCAGTAACTATCACACATCTTTGCCAGTCCCCTTATCCTTAGCCTCACACTGAGGATTACAAAAGCAAGTTAGGTTAAAATTTACAAAAAAAAATTAATGTTTTCAAAAAGTCCATAACATAAAGAGCCCATAATTTCCAATGTGGTAATATTTTTCTCTATTTGATATAAAAAGAGAGAGCTCCCACTCACTGGTTCCCTTCCCAAATGCCTGCATTGACTGGGCCTGGGCCAGACCAAACCAGGAACCTGAACTCAATCCCAATCTGCTGTGTGGGTGGCAGGAATCCAAGTTCTTGAGCCATCACCTGCTGACTTCCAGGATCTGCATTAGTAAGAAGCTGTATTGGAAATGTTGCCAGGACTGGAACCCAGATGCTCCAATATGAGATGCAGGCATCCCACATGGAGTCTTAACCCTGAATCAGACACCTGCCACTTAAGAAAATTTTCCTTTGAAAGGCAGAGACTATAGCAGGGGCTGGGCCAAGCCAGAGGAGCCTGGAACTCAATTCAGAGTCCTTCACATGTATGGCAGGGAGCCAAGCATTTGAGCCATCTCCAACAGCCTCGCACCATGGGCATTTGCAGGGAGCTGGAATTGGAATTTATTTAGGACTCAAACCTCTGCATGTCTGTATGGTCACAATAACCCCAAGTGGCATCTTAACTGTGACACCAAATGTCTGCCCCAATATTTTTATTTTCAAATCACATACATGCAAACAAAATATATTTTTAAGATGAAATAGAATATTTGGAAAATTTTACTTATTAAATATATAAAATATTTTTGCTCTCACTGGTTACCTCAATTTATTTGGACTGCTACAACAAAATACCATGGACTAGGTGACTTATAAATAACAGAAATTTATTTTTCACAATTTTAGATGCTAGAGGTCCAAGAACAAGGTGTCAGCAGATTCAGTGTCCAATGAAGACTAGCCATCTTTTGTCATATCTTACTTGGAGGGAGGAGCAAGGGAGATCTCTGGGGTCTCTTTTATTTTTTTTAAGCTTTTATTTAATGAATACAAATTTCATAGGTACAACTTTAGGAATATAGTGGTTCTTCCCCCAATAACCGCCCTCTCACCCCTACTCTCTCATCCCACCTCCTATTCCCTCTTTCCTATCCCATTCTTCATTAAGATTCATTTTTAATTAACTTTATATACAGATCAACTGTATACTAAGTAAAGATTTCAACAGTTTGCACACACATACACACAACATATAAAGTACTGCTTGAGAACAAGTTTTGCAGTTAATTCTCATAGTGAAACTCACAAAGGACAAAGGTCCTACACAGGGAGTAAGTGCACAGTGACTCCTGTTGATTTAACAATTGACACTCTCGTGTTTGATGTCAGTGATCACCCGAGGCTCTTGCCAGGAGCTGCCAAGGCTATGGAAGCCTTTTGTGTCCACAAACTCAGTATTTGGACAGGGCCATAAGCAAAGTAGAAGTTCTCTCCTCCCTTCAGAGAAAAGTATCTCCTTCTTTGATGGCTGGGGCCTCTTTTAAAATGACACAAATCTTATTCATGAGATCTCCACCCACATTATCACCTCCTCCATTATCATCACACTGGGGATTAAATTTCCGTATGATTTGAAGGACATTTAGTCTATAATATTACTAATAACATTTTTGATGGAATTAGCATTTTTAGAATGATCAGTGTGAATATTTACTACTCCTAAAATCATTAGTATTTTGTAAAATAGTAATTTGAATATTTAAGTTCACTTTATTTAAATACTTAATTTAACAGTTTTTATCTGAAAAATATATCACCCCTAAAGACTATATCATTAACTGCTTATTAAAAGAAGTTCAATTCAGTGAACTAATTAGGCAAAGAAAGATTTTTACAGAAATTTGATATGTTAATGCTCTTTCATGATTTTGACCAAAAAGTATTGCAAATTCATCAAAAATTAGTATTTACATTTTTAGTAAATTGATTCAAAATAATTAAAACTCCTCATATGGAAGTCTTTTATTTTTTTTTAAGTTTTTTATTTTTCTTTTTTTTTCTTTTTTTTTTTAACTTTTATTTAATGAATATAAATTTCCATAATACGGCTTATGGATTACAATGGCTTCCCCCCCATAACGTCCCTCCCACCCGCAACCCTCCCCTTTCCCATTCCCTCTCCCCTTCCATTCACATGAGGATTCATTTTCGATTCTCTTTATATACAGAAGATCAGTTTTGCATACATTAAGTAAAGATTTCAACAGTTTGCTCCCACACAGAAACATAAAGTGAAAAATAATAGATGATTTTTTAAATGATGATGAAATCAGATCAGACCTATTGTCATGTTTAATCCCAGCGAGAGTCAAGTTGGGAATTGATAATTTCTTCTTTTTTTTTTTTTTAACAGAAGATCAGTTTAGTATACATTAAGTAAAGATTTCAACAGTTTGCACCCCCATAGAAACACAAAGTGAAATATACTGTTTGAGTACTCGTTATAGCATTAAGCCTCAATGTACAGCACATTAAGGACAGAGATCCTACATGAGGAGTAAGTGCACAGTGACTCCTGTTGTTGACTTTACAAATTGACACTCCTGTTTATGGCATCAGTAATCTCCCTATGCACCAGTCATGAGTTTCCAAGGCTATGGAAGCCCCTTGAGTTCTCCGACTCTTACCTTGTTTAGACAAGGTCATAGTCAAAGTGGAGGTTCTCTCCTCCCTTCAGAGAAAGGTA